GGGCGATACGACAAAGTCACGCTCGCGAGGCTGACCGCCGTAGCTAATGACACTTGCGTCCTTCGCAAAAATGACAAGAGTAGAAAAAGAGTAGAACACGCGAAACCAAGTATATATGATTTATCTTTCGTTCATCATTCTTTATACTCGATAATGGATATATGCGTCATAGAGAAGAAAAAGAAAACGATCGCGAATTTAATGATGAGTGAAGAATCTAGCGTATTTAAGTGAAATCAAACTAGCAAGTTTGTCTCGCGGTATGCTCTAAAATCTCCATGGATTTGAGTGGCTTCACGATAGCGAAGAAAATTCGTCGACTAATAACTGGCGGACGAGTTGTATGGAAGCGAGAATATCCGAGCCAGCTCGAGTATTTGGCCGAAATTTTACACGCGGCTACATTAGCTAAAGGTGCGACTAGTGCAGCACTCGGAATGCCCTTGCACAATCGCGTGAAAGAAAGAAAAGGACCGACTGGTCCGTACCGGTACTTACTTTCGTGCGTGATCAAACTATACGCCTAGTAAAATAGTTTGATTGTACCATCTCTCGATACAGCTCGTCGACTCGAGTGCAAATGCACTGCACTGGTGAATAGTGTCAAGTCGGAGAATATCAAACGCCAAAATGAAGAAACACGAAGCTCGCTCTTGTTCTTGCCGGGACGGAGCTTCGTTGTATGCAAACGATCGCGATGGCAGCCAGACGAAGTAGCGAAGAAAGGAGGAGGTCCATAATCCCGACCCTTCGCACAAAGGCTCGGGCTTCCTTCAGCACGCAATTCTCACAAGAGAAAAGTACACCCACGCTCAAAAATATATTCCGTCCAGATACCCACAGGTCTTTCGTTACGGCGGATTTATATCGGCGATTATTGGCGATTGGAAGAGTCATCGAATGAATCGTCCGCGTTACCGTTACGCAAGGAAAGGCCATTTTCGAAGTTGTCGATGACAGCCGGAAATTAGATCATACCTTGTTACATCGAGCGCTTGCCAATTCGTCCAAGACGCGTAGATATTACGCGATTACGGTAACACCGAGGTAATCAGGCCATGTTGTTCCATTCACTAAGAAACGCGACGGCGTGCAAAATTCTCACCGAGTCGCACAGTCGGCTGCGTTATTAGGTTTTACGTAAAGCACGTAATGCGTAACGCCTTTCCGCGATTCTTCTAAATTCTGTTGATTCTTCTCCTTCGCCTTTAATTGCTGTTGTTCGACATTCCCGAGGGAGTGGTGCACATTAGAGGAGATATGTAAAAATCATCTAGCAAATCACTTTGAAACCATCTTACTCGTGTAACCAAGAAAGGAGGCGCGTTATACGGTACACCGTAGATGGACAATGATTAATGTCTCTCGATTGCCAATTTCGTCGGCGAACGGATGCCAGCCAAGAGGAAACCGGAAGCGATCGATGGACAATGCGCAGCGGTACCTCGCTCGTGATCGGTCGTATCTAAAAGCATAATCTGTCTACGACTCGTGTCGACTGTAAAGCAGAAATTTGCAAATTCCAGCCGATGTTAAGACACGAAACGGGAACCTCTGGAAAACAGGAAGTACATTCTCCGGCAAAAACTCACCCTGGAAACTGGATTGAATAATCAGCGCAGACAATAGACGCGATATTCAGAGCCGTCGGACAGAGCTGTCCGACTTACCGACGATTGATTCTAGATTCAAATTCATTCTACGTTTAATGACAAATCTCCAAGACGTGAAATGACCGTAAAAACGTTTTCTCCATATGTTTGATTCCAACTCTAATTTTAAGGATAAGTACATTTTCCAAACGCTGCAAACCTCCGAGTGTCAACGGCGAGCGCGTCGAGCTGTTATAAACATTGACAGAGAAATCGAAAGAGGAAACTCGATAAACATCGAAAGAGGAACTTACTCCCTGAGAACAACCTTATCGTCAGTAGCTGTGGAAAAAAGGAAGCAGCTCAATAGAAATGTAATCTTTCCCTTCTCGGAGATAGAACTGTACATCGGAGATTAAACGCAGCGAGAATCGGCGAGGTATAGCCGTAATTAAAAAGAGATGCGACGGAGGAATCTTCTTTCTATATTACGGTTTATATAGATATAATTGATATTCCGCGATACCCAAGAGGCGCAAGATAACCAGGATCCAGTTGGAAAGTATGTTTGCAGTGCTATCGTAATTATGGCGATGCGAACGTTTCCTACACGGTAACACCGGGAAAACCGTTATTCGGCATACTGCGCGCGAGAAGATACATGAATTTGTCCACAGCAGCTGATACCACCGTGCCGTGTCTCGCCGTTTAAAAGCGCGTAGAAAATTACACTTGCACGTGCGCACTATGCGTCGCACCGCACGCAAATTTATTATACTTGTTTTAAATGCGCAAGGTCTCTCTATCAGATTCTTATCTTTCTGGTAAAAATGTTTGCGAATCGGAAAGGAAATAGAAATATCCCGTTAGATGCGACAACCGAAGAAAAGTCCAGACTCTCTTTGGTTGTTTGATTTTATTCATGAAAATTATTTACATTTGCAAACGAGATAATTCACTTTGATTTTTATTTGACAAGAACTTGTTTGAATCGAGGAACCTTGGCGTTCCTTCAGGCTCGTTCAACTACCGCTTCGCGTAAAAAGTCGTTGCTCGCTTTTTCACGCACCGTGTTTCGTACTGCTTAGCAGGTAACACGAATACTTTCTAATATTGACCCACTGTCAGCCTGGGACCCAGCATCCACGAGTCTTTCCCTCGGTCTTTGACCGTTCATACGCATAATTATTTGTCGAAATTGATCTTTTTCCTCTTACATTCATTCATCGCGACTGTAATAACTGCTGCAAATATATCTACGATAGAGAGAGAGAGAGAGAGAGAGAAAGGGTAAAAAAGGAGGATAAAAACAAACGCTTTTGCGTGTCCGCTTAATAACAGTTTAACAAGATTAGCATTGTAAATACAGTTGATCTTTGCTTTTCATAAACGGCCTAGTATAACTCGTAAGTATTAATTGCGTTAATAATTGCATAGATGGAAATGGATCACGTTCGTAATTCGTTGATTTGACAGTTGAACGCTTTTGAGAAACACTTTTGAAAATGGATTCCAAGAGTATTAATTGCGTTAATAATTGCATAGATGGAAATGGATCACGTTCGTAATTCGTCGATTTGACAGTTGAACGCTTTTGAGAAACACTTTTGAAAATGGACTCCAAGGACATTCTTTCCGACTGATCTTTTGATTCTGACGAGGTGGCCTTCGTTTGCGCACTTGGACAATCTTTAAGGCATATTTTATACATGTTTTATATGCGTAAAACATCTCGTAAAACGAAAGAAACATAGTCGATGAATGTGAGAAGCAACCAACAGGTTGCACTTCTCTCTTTCCTCCAATTACTATCGAATATTTTCCAGAACGAGAAACGTCGATTCCATTTTTACCGGTTTTATGTAGCTGTTAACTTGAGAGTCAGAAGGAGGACCACGCATTTACACGCTTGCGTCGCCGCGTTTTCTCGGTCTCTTCATAAAGACGGACGGGCACACGTATACTCGTTGCGCCGTCTGGATTCCCTGATAAACCGTTATAATCGCCGCGGATCGAGCGGAGCAACTACGTCGAGCGCTCGGGAAGTTTAGCTCGCAGCAGGATCGATGAATCGAACAAACGAGACGACTTTTCCATCAATCTGTTTGCGCATCGTTTCTAATTGTGCGTCTCGCTCACGAAGAATAAAAGGAAAGGAAAAAGAGTTGAAAAGCGATGCAAGGTTTATTTGCGAAAATCCTTAAAGCTGTTCTCCACGCTCGTTTTGTGTCAATCGGGGATACGTCGAAAGTACAATATTGTTGATAAATAGAAGCGTTGACTTTTGCCATCTTTTCAAATATGTCGTTGACGAATTCGTCAGAGCGTCCGCGCACGATCAAGGAAGAGTTCTCCTCGCGAGTTCCCACCGCGCGCAATCGCGACTCACGCATCTCCGAATCTCGGGGCCTAATTATACTGGGGCGCGATTGCGTTGCCAATTGAACGCGCGAATGCTCGCACGGCCGCTTGCTCCAGTTAAGCTTCCTAATTGCACTGCCTCGGAGACGGACAATGGCGCATTGCATAAAAGCGACTGTATAACGGCGCGAGTTCGTCGCAAAGTATAATAAACTTTCGCGATTCGTGCGCGCGTACGATCGCTTTCCGGCGTTTCCCACGAGTTCGCTCATCCGACGCTCTTGGTTGCATCACACGTCTTATCGTGCGATCGACTTGGAAAACGCTTGAGACATAATAATAATATATTTCGCGCCATTGTAATTTACACAACAACGAAAATTATAATTTGACAAAAAATTATAATTCGACAGTTTGCGTGACTGTTGAACCCGCATTTTCCCTCCCCAACTCCCGTGTATCGTTTATATAAATTTGCAGAGATTCATGGCGAATCTCTAGTTTCGGCAAAATTTCGCGACTTACTCTCGGAATGTGTGGGCACTTCGTTTTAAAGGAGAATAGGCGTGGCTTGGTATAATAATGCGGTAACGTCATCAATAATAATCTCATGCGACGTTTATCTCGCCACTTGGTTACGCGAGGTATGCCCGACTGCTTTGTGGCACAATTCAGCCGCAGAAACCGTAAGGAATTTTACGGGAACCGGTGGGATGGATGGTGTGTATTCAGCAGAAACAGCACAGATATCTTCCGCATTCTCTCGCAATTATGACAGACGAATCGGAAAAAGAAAGAAAAGTCGAAAATGATGGCGAATAACCATTACGCGCGGTATATGTTCGATCTTTCCTCCGCGACTAAACGTACGTTGCGATCGTTGCATCGCTAAGTATGTTAATGACAGAAGCGGTTAGTTACAAACGAGTTCCCGAGAGAAATTGGAAAATATTACATCCGTCTGTTATATCTTGTGTGATGTCAATGACAGCTTGATTATCATCATTCGCAACGACTCACACGGAATTTCTCATTTGTTTTAGGAATATGCTGATAAGAGAATTGGCGGCCGCTTGGGTCGTCGTCCTCTTGTGCCATCTTCAGCTAACGGAGTCTCAGGTGAGCATACGCTATATATCGAACATTTTTAGATTCTGTCGCTGTTTTAAACAGCGGCGTTCATATCCTCTCGCGTACTACATACATCTCAAATTGAAAAGAATCGCTCGCTCAATGACCGCGACCCTCTGCGAGAATATCGTTCTGTCATCGACCTTCCGCCTGAAAGCGCTTGGTCGCGTTAATTGGCGAGAATTATCTGGCGAAGGTAATTTCATTGGCGAAAACACACATATTGCCCGAATTTCTCGAAGGAAAATACGATGGATCCTTCCACATGAGATTCTCGGGAGTTTCAACTGCGGGTTATGAAGTAATTGGTATGTCGAGACGGCTCCATAGGAGTTACCGCGCGTTTCCACGAGATGTGGCATATGTGAGGTGAAAGTGAATTTCAAGCGTACAAGCGCGCCGCACAACACTTTAACTGCGGAATGTTCGACAGGCGAGAACGCGCGAGTATATCCCTCCCCTCTTGAGGGGTGTCCCCTCGAAATTAAGTCGAGTTAACGTCGAATATTCCGCCGCATTTTTCCGACAATTTTTGCTACAGACACTTGAAATCCTCCGAAATTTTCTCCTTGTAAGATTCGCTCTCAAACGTTGGTTTTACGCTTTTATCGCTCGCTTTCTCTTATCGCGCGACCAATCGCGTAAATTAATAAATGTGCACGCATGAGTTTAATAGGGCCGCGCGCAATCGTCGCGCAATCACCGCGCAGTCGGCGCGAAACGCCGCTCACGAGCCACTCGAGCAAACTCACGCACGAGACCTTCGTCCAGCTGGTGCAACTCGCACCTCTCGCAGGAATGTAGTCACCGTTATGTCACTGATACACGCGCACGTCGAAATACAGAGACAGGTAGAAATACAGAGCGTCCGTTCGCGGATACTTTCCGCGCGCGAGATGGACGCTCGAAGCGAAGATCGTTGGACAGATTGCGTTTTCACTTTCTCCTGTCGTATAACAATGCGTCAGCCTGACTCTGGTACGCTGGCGGTGTTAAACAGCGCACACACTCATCGGAGAATGGAAAGTGATTTTAATGACAATTTCACCTTGGGAAAAATTATTCTCGCGACAGTCCACGACAACGATTCCCGTAATTAATGCAACCCTTTTTGGACTCCCTTCGGTTGCTTTTTATACAATTGTCCGATAATTATCTCGGGATTAAACTGAACGGGAAAATCATGTACCAAAATCTCAATAGTCTACGAGCTAATGATCGCACAATAGGAAACAGGTATAAAGAAAAATGGATCACCTCTGAAAATGTGGCAACGATGAGCAGCAACTGATTTCTAGAGTGCTGCGAAGTAATGCAGCGAATAGCGAGCGGCATGCCGAAACACGCTGTCAGTTGATATTCGTCGTTGCTTGCGTGATTTTTGCAAGATGGTATATGTGATTTTACTGTTCAGTTTAATCCGTTCCACCTCACAGATTATCATCGTACACTCTGCATATTGTTAAAATCTGAAATTCGCATATTGTTTGACCAAACATGTTTCGCTTTTGTTGCAGGTTCCTGCTACAAATGTTTTCACCTGTCCAAACGGTGAGTATCTCGGGAGAGGGTAGTACCTGTTGAACGGGCGACATTGAGTCCTGGAAACATCCGGTATAAACGGAAAGGGGATCAAGTTCTCACGACGATTTAGCCGCCGTTTTGTACACAGGAAAAGTTTTAGATCCGAGTGAAAACTTGCTCAAGAATATTGTAGTAATTATTTACTTACTTAAATTTAACACTTTTTCTGCATATAAACACATCGTGAAAACTGCGCGACGAAAGATATCGAAAATTTGAAGCAACAAAAAATGATTCATCCGTCTCGTCGCAGTCGTTCTTTCTTCATCGAACAATTTTGAGCCAAGTCGGGCCATCGTCTCCGTAGAAATCGTCGGGACGGTCAGTCGTGATATTAGGCGACTTTTACTTTCGAGATCGGCGAATCTTGAAACTCGCTGAGGGAACGGCAATAAAATCGGCGGGGCTATTTTCGCGACTGTGATTACGAAATTTGCGGAAACTATCATCCGAATGCCGAAGAAACTGTCATATTTCTTGGTTCGGAAAATAAAACACGATTCTACTACTAGGTGAGGCTTCGAAAGAAGGCGTTTTTCTCTCACTGAACGCGAGTAAAAAGTTTCGAGAATTATTCTTTCGGAATATCCGTTTCGAATGACGGATCCCCCTTTTGAGACCAGACAGGCGCGATACATCACCGACAATTATACGCACGCCTCTGTCCGACAAATAAATCTCGCGAAAGACAATGAGGATAAGAGTTCGGCCATTCGTGACGCCATTCTGCTCTACTTTTCCCCGTTGCTCGCCGTTGCAATTAAAGTAGGTTGCACGTACCATATGGGGCCGGTCGGTCGGTCATTAACCACGAGTGTGTCGTCGCGTGCGCCGGAAAAATTGCAAGTGCTATTTTCTTCCGCGTGCTATTCTTCCGCTTCTTCTGAACAAATGTCGTTCAACGACAAGCAAGACAATCGCGCGATATATCAAATGCCGTGAATGTTATTCAGCGGCGCTATATTTTAAAAACGAGTACTTTGCGCTAATCGCATTCTTTACATCGGCTTGGATAATACGTTGCGTGGAGAATGATTGAATTTTTCATCCAACGGAGAATTCACTGCAATATTTATATCTTATCGCAAACGTCATGCATATAGATCTTGCACAAGGAACACTTTGTGTGCTCGCTTACAAAACTCTACTATTTACAAAATGTACAATGGAGCTGTTAAGTATATTAATTTTAAACTTGGTGCACTTGAAATGCACAAATTATATATGTTTATATGCGATCATGCCAAGTGCTTTTTGTGTGTGTGAGGCTTTATTCTATTAAAATAAAAAAAAAAATCTTTTTTCTACAAATTTTGCAAATGTAGCAAAATTATTCTTGAAGAACAAAATTTTTCTGTAAAATGTCATTTATTTATTCTTGGTTATAGAATACAAATTTTACATATCACTACTTTTATTGGAAAAGGTAAAAATGTATCTAAAATTTGTATTTCTTTTTAATCAATTTTTCCCCCTTTTGCCTTTTTTATGTATAATATATTTTCTTGTTGCATCCTTTTACTTCAAATTTATATTTTCTGCCTTAAACGCTTGCTATTTCTGTAGACAACATACTTCCTCGTTGGCGCGACATTTTCATTTCACTATTTTTGTACGAGAAACGGATAGAAAGTAACATTTTTTGTATAATATTTGAAACTTTATTTAGCGATTTGTTCCTTTTTTCTATTGAAAAAAGTTATTACGTCTTACGTAAATCATACGTAAAATATTTTTACGTTCGTGCAGATGTACGAAAATATTCCACACCACGAGATACGTTTCCAAGACGTTTAATAGAACTGGATCAGAGTCGCCGGAAGGGACACCTGATGAATGTCCGCATTTAACCGACGTTGTATGATCCCGAAATTCTTAATCTGCTGTACAATAATAGCGTCTCATCATAATAATGGTAGATCAGCCTAAGGTAAATTCAGGTAGAAAGGACGGGACGAGGACTGCATTCCTGTGTCCGTAAATTCCAGCCCGCCTGCCCCGCCTCTTCTTTTCCGTCCCTCGTTGTTGGTCGACGTCATTGTGATCCTAAAAATACTTAATTCCCAAACCTCGAATCCACCGTCGCCTCGTAGTCGCGCCACGGTTGTACCTTCCCCACTCGAAGGAAACTCGACCGAGTCGACAGCGTCGAACGGGATTCCAAAAAGTAGAACATCCGGCAACACGCTCGCTCATCTTCTGTTCTTACGCGATCATCCGTCGTGCTCGCGCGCGTGTTCTTTCTTGCCGGAAGAACGGCCTGGGTATGAAGGAGGAGAGACGGTCTTTCCGGGTGCTTGCGTACTGACAGACACACAGTTTTATCATCTTTCCGCCAGTTGACCGCGAATACCGACGAAATCGTCTTCTTCCCCTCCTCTTCTTTTCCACACGTTCCAGATTTCACAAATTTTATCGAGTTTGATCTTGGTGATTGCAGATTTGCGAAGCGAAAGAATTTCCGACCACACAGAGTATATACGTACTGTTCTCTTGCATCACGCGCGCGCACACACACACACACACACACTTTGATTTATATCTTTCAATTTATAGAGGATGTACCAAACCGTAATGTGCAAGTAGAAACTGAATAGAAAAGTCACACATCATTTTGAAAAATTCACAATAGTTAGTGAATACATAATTCTTCTGCTCACTTTCACCCGTTCTACCTACACACCACGGGAACCGGTTTAGGACACCCTGTATATATATGTAGCGTTTTCCTTCATTTTCTGCAGTCTCAACGCGATGTTGTATTATCGATATTACGTGATCATTGATGAAAATATCACGCGCGTCTGTGTTTACCAGAGGAAAATTATATTTCACACACGTTCCTCGAACAAGAAATGCTAATGGATATTGAAAGAACCGCGATGCAAACGCATGGCCGTTTGACCTTTTGAAAGAAAGGAAGGTCGTCGTCGAGGCTCTCCCAGTGCGTCCACTCATCGGCAACATGACTGAATAATGTTGCGTCTCATTTCTCCTCCACGAATTACACTTTGCGACAAACATTGCGCATTATGCGCGTCTCCTTCTGCTCTCATTCGTTCCCGGAAATCTGTGTGCTTGCAACGTTTCAAAATTGGAAGAATTGAAGAAAATCGGAATATCCTCTAGTCTCCTGCAATCGAGATTTTACATAAAAATAATCCGAAACAACTTTCTAACGATCATGGCAAGTCGATTGGAAAGTGTCGGATTTGTGAATCAGCATCTTGCTTACCAACTGATCGGAACGCATTATAATATGTTTGATTGAATGAATATATCGAATATAGAGCAAATTTTCCTTGCAATTCCCCAGTTAAACCAGATTACTTACCGATTAATCCAAGGAGCTTGGAAAGTCGAACAAACCATTTGCTGGTGAAAAAGGAAGAATATTTGCGAGGAGAAACGACCGCGCGCGAGATTACTTGCACGAAACTAGGCATCGACAAGCGGATTCCGTGGAAGCTAGATTATAATGCCGGAGTAAAAGAGCGAATATAATGTAGACCGATAATGCAAACCACGTTGTGCGCGAGAGACGAAGTTTCATTATTTTATAAAGTCCCTTTCGAGAGGCTGTTAACCCCTAAGGCACTAAAAACGATCGAGGTCGTTGGGCCCGTCAGTGCGGGTCACCGATTAACCGCCTTTCTCGTCCCCCATGAGTTTCGTGTGATTGTTCGGAAAAATGCCAGCAGACCCGATTTTCCAGTCTTGTTTTTGATCTGCGAAATTATTTAATCTTTTTTAACAATTTGAAAAGAACGACTATAGTGTTGCGAATTTCTTTGGTCGGTTGTCTTTCCGACGTGTTATTACAGCTTTGTACGGACGTCCGTACCAAGAACAGGCGGTTTAATTCGACTTTTCTCTGTGCAGGATGGGAACTGCGAGGCATCCACTGTTACAAATTCTTCGCCATTGTGCACTCTTGGCGAAAAGCGGCGGAATTATGCAGGAGGTGAGTCATGAAAGATGACCAATCTTTTCCAGTCGAATTTTCGTCATAGTACGACGAATAGTGTATCGCGCGCGCGAATTGCGCAATATCACTGAGGCGCATCGACGCCATATACTACATAGTAGTATGTATACTATATACTACATATACTACCTTGATATAAGAAAAATAAAGCGTTTCAGATAAAAATCGTAGGTATTTCGGTGGCGTTAACTTTATTACATTAATTCAAGGTCATTTCAAGAATTTATTCTTGTTATATCAAGGTGTCTCAATGCCCCATCCTATATATATAGTTTCGATCGATGGTCCGTTGCAGGTACGGTGGCGAGCTGATGGTGGTGGAGTCTTACAGCGAGAACAACGTGTCGGCCAGCATGGTACCGCCGAAATTGAAACATTATTGGCTGGGTCTCGTCTCTCTCGACGATTTACGGACCAACACACTCGAGTCCGCCGCGGGAATGCTCGTCTCCCAATATGCCGGTTTGTTTCCTCGATCGCACAATTCCGGTTTCACTCAACTCACGAGCGAATCTGCACGTGCTGTTAACCTTTCTCTCTTTAATCCGCCTCGCGGAGATCTCTTTCGCGATGCGTTGTATTCATTATAACGAAGGACGAACGACCGAAAACGCGAGTCGTTAACTCTTTCAACGACCGACTCTGGTCGGTATTTGCTCGGGACGAGTAAAGGAACGCGAAAGAATCGGTCTGCTACTGCTAATCTTCATCCGATCGAGGTAAGTTCCGTTGAGACGATCACATTGAAGGAAAGCATTACAGTGTGCATTATGAAATCGAGCGACTGACGAGATTACTCGCTGAAAGCTCCGGTCTCGCACGCACGCGGGGCCAGTTTCTATCAGGGTCACGGAAACACGGAACCGCGCGGCGGCACCGAGACACACTTTTCCCACAACAATGCTCCCGCAACAATGCTCGTCTCTTCGTGAACGGCAGTCATCCGGCCTCATCCGCTATAAGCTGCTAATTTCGCCGTCTAGCGCGTTCGTCCACGCTACTAAATCGCATCATCAATTACACGAGTTTGATGAATCGTTAGCGACGATCAAGCAGCGTCACCTTCCGTTGCGCATGACGAAATTATCGCATTCAGCACGTTCGAATAAAAATGTAGGTTTCTGGGCGCCGAGGCAACCGAATCCGCACTCGGGTGAGTGCGTGGACGTCGCCTTGACGGATGACCGACAAACGTGGGAACTGACCACGTGCGAGTCGCTACTACCTTTCATGTGTCGTACCAACGCCTGTCCTTCCGGTAAGTCTCATTGTCGCGAACAACGCCGGTATTTCACGCGGGATGATTCGCGCTACGACGATCTCCGCAGGTTCGTTCCATTGCTCGAACGGCAAGTGCATCAATGCAGCTTTCAAGTGCGACAAGCAGGATGACTGCGGCGATTATTCGGACGAAATGGACTGCCCGGCCAACTGCCAGTATTACATGGCGAGTAGCGGCGACGTTGTGGAGAGTCCGAATTATCCGCATAAATATGCACCCCTCAGCAATTGCAAGTGGACGCTGGAAGGCCCTCAAGGACACAATATTCTTCTGCAGGTGGGCGGTCTCGCTCAATGAGCGCGTGCGGAAAAATGAGAGGGAACGATTTGTATTTTAGTTTCAAGAATTCGAGACGGAGAAGAGCTTCGACACGGTGCAGATCCTCGTAGGTGGTAGAACCGAGGACAAGTCGGTGAATCTCGCGACTTTGTCCGGCAAGCAAGAGCTCAGCAACAAGCTCTTCGTCTCGGCCTCGAACTTTATGATCGTAAAGTTCAGCACCGACGCCTCCGTGGAGAAGAAGGGCTTTCGCGCTTCATGGAAGACTGAGGCGCAAAAGTGCGGCGGGAGTCTGCAGGCGACGTCGCAAGGACAGGTGCTCACGTCCCCTGGCTACCCCCAGAATTATCCCGGAGGGCTGGAGTGCCTGTATATTATTCGAGCTCAGCCGGGACGCATAATGTCCTTGGAGGTACCTGCTTTCGCTTGTTTTCAATACATCGCTGACGAATTAACAATCTTAACATGATCCTGCTTCTAGATCGAGGACTTGGATCTCGAGACAAACCGAGACTACATTTTAATCAGGGACGGAGATTCGCCCATGAGCCGACCGATCGCGCGTCTCACGGGGAAATCGGACGACAATCCGACGGTGATAATGTCCACGGGAAGCGACTTGTATCTCTATTTCAAAACGAGCCTCGGCGATTCCAGGCGGGGATTCAGTATTCGCTACACGCAAGGTTGCAAAGCTACAATCGTCGCGAGGAACGGCACTGTCCAGTCGCCTTCCTACGACCTCAACAATTATCCCAACAATCAAGAGTGTCTGTACAGGATCAGGAATTCAGGCAGAGGATCGTTGTCTTTGAAATTTGTCAGCTTCGACGTTCACCAAACCGACTATGTGCAGGTGAGTCTGTTGTTACTCTGACACTACCTTTATATCGATAAGCCGTAATTTGTTGCTCGCATGTTCCGCTCAATAAAGTACTTTCTCTCTTTCTCGTGAAGATATACGACGGCTTAAATACAAACGGCCTTCGCTTGCATCCTGAAAACGGCTTCACTCGAAACTCTCAACCGAAAATCACGCTCACTGCTGAGAGCGGCGAGATGCTCGTCAGGTTCGTGACCGACGCTTTACACAACAGTGCCGGCTGGCAGGCCGGCTTTTCCGCCGGTGAGTCGTGTGTGCTTAATTTTTATCACTTGCTTGCACACCACCGTAGGTGTGTGTACATAAAAAATCGTCAGCGCGCCGTTCGTTTCAATGTTCAGTGTTTGAAAAGGAAATTTCTCGCAGATTGCCCGATATTAAAACCTGGGGAAGGTGCTTTAGCATCGAGTCGGGACACAGCCTTCGGTACGATGGTTACGTTCTCGTGCCCGTTGGGACAAGAGTTCGCTACGGGAAAGTCGAGAATATCCACAGAATGTCTCCCCGGAGGTAACTGGTCCGTTACGTATATTCCGAAATGTCAAGAGGTGTACTGCGGCCCCGTACCTCAAATTGACAACGGATTCTCGATTGGCTCCTCCAACGTAACGTACCGGGGCTTGGCGACCTATCAATGTTACGCAGGATTCGCTTTTCCTTCGGGAAGACCGACGGAAAAGATTTCGTGCTTGGCTGACGGAAGGTGGGAGAAGAAACCGTCCTGTTTAGGTGTGTCTCGACAGTTTTCCGAGTCATCGGTTGTACATCACAGATGTGTGGATTTTTGCAATCATTACGTTTCTCTCGCGTGACAACAAAGAGGACTGTTCGACTTTTTTACTCTTTTAGCGTCTCAGTGCGCTCCGCTTTCAGAGGCTCCTCATTCCAACGTAACCATCCTGAATGGAGGTGGTCGAAGTTACGGCACAATCGTGAGATTCGAATGCGAGCCTGGATATGTAAGAAGCGGACATCCTGTTATTCTATGCATGAGCGACGGTACCTGGTCCGATCAAGTTCCAACGTGTTCTCGTGAGTACTTGTTTTTTCCATTAAAATTATACAGTCAACGCGAAGTGAAAATGAGACAATTTCGACAGGTGCTAAATGCCCGTTGCTGCCTACGATTAAGAATGGATTCGTCGTCGACACCGGTAAAGATTATTATTTCGGTGATGAGGCTAGAGTACAATGTAACAGAGGCTACAAGTTGACCGGAATGAATATTATACAATGTGGCCCTCACCAATATTTCGATAACGTGCCAACCTGCGAAGGTGAATTTGTTGTGCACACGTATATACACTTTTGCAAATTCTTGTCCTCTGCTTAATTACACACATCATGTGATGATGACGATCGTATATTTGCTCGCAGATATAAACGAGTGCGCGTCCACTCAGTGCGATCTGGCGTCCACAGAATGTATAAACTATCCCGGTGCGTTTACTTGCAAATGTAAACCCGGATTCGCACCGACTACCGAATGCCGATCCATCGGCGATCTCGGACTCATCAACGGCGGCATTCCCGACGAATCGATCGTGGTTTCGGGCTCGGATAATGGCTACACCAAAACCGTAAGACACGAATGTCTCCACAATGAACGATTTTTAACGATCATGCCTTGATACACTTGCTCCTTGTCGCAGGGAATTCGTTTGAATAACGGCGATGGCTGGTGCGGCAATAGCAAAGAGTCGGGTGGCGCAAATTGGGTGATGATCGATATGAAAGCGCCGACAATCATCCGCGGTTTCCGCACGCAAGTCGTAGTCAGGAACGACGACACCGTCGCCTTTGCATCTGCGGTACGGATTCAGTACACGGACGAGCTGACGGATGTTTTCAAGGACTACACCAATCCGGACGGTACGCCGGTCGAGTTCAGGATCGTGGAACCGACACTTTCCGTTCTGAATCTACCTGTGCCGATCGAGGCGCGCTACGTGAAATTCAGGATACAGAGTTACGACAACAAACCTTGCATGAAGCTGGAGATAATGGGCTGTACCAGGTTGCAGTGCATGGATATCAACGAGTGCGCGGTGAAGAACGGCGGTTGTCACCACAAATGCATCAACAGTCCCGGCAGCTATTCTTGCATGTGCAACACGGGTTTCGAACTGTACAGAGGTAACGGCACGGCCGGCTATTATCTGGCGAGATCCGAGACCGGCGAGAGAGATGATGATTTGTATCAGAGAAATAAAACGTGCGTGCCGGTGATGTGCCCGTTTTTGACGGCGCCGGAGAACGGAAAACTGCTGTCGACTAAGGTGAGAAAAAGAGAAATTGTAAAATGCATCGATGTAAAGATGTATATTCGTTTTGCAGAAGCAGCATCATTTCGCTGACCTCGTTAGATTCCAGTGCAACTTTGGTTACGTACTATCAGGATCTGCGGCTGTAATTTGCACCTCCTCCGGTGCTTGGAACGGCACCGTACCCGAGTGTCAATGTGAGTGATCTCATGGTATATACGGTTTCCGACCGATAAACGATGTTAAATCGCGCCGATATGCATTTCTTTCTCTTCATTTTTTTTTCGAACAATTTTATTTCCTTCAATTCGCACACACAAGTCCTTTGTTTCAGACGCGAAATGCGTCTCGCTACCGGACGACAAGAACGAAGGTCTTTCCGTAAACCGGACCGACAAGAGCAGCGTGCTAGTGCCCTTCAAGCAGAACGTCACTCTCGAGTGCAGCAGCGATGGCCGTTACTTACGCAATACCGCGACCTCCTCTTTCCGACAGTGCGTGTACGATCCCAAACCCGGCTATCCCGATTACTGGCTATCCGGTTTGCAGCCAGCGTGTCCTCGGGTCGACTGCGGAAAGCCACTTCCCACGCCTGGCGCCGCATACGGCCAATATCCGGACACCAAGTACAAGTCCTCCTTCTTTTTCGGCTGTCAGGACACTTTCAAGCTGGCCGGTCAGACCAATCACCACGACAACGTTGTGCGATGTGAGCAGGAGGGTGTGTGGGACTTTGGCAATCTGCGATGCGAAGGTCCGGTTTGCGAGGACCCCGGAAGACCGAGCGACGGTTACCAGGAGGCGCGAAGCTACGAGCAGGGCTCGGAGATCCGGTTCGGTTGCTCAAGACCGGGCTACATCTTGATCAATCCGCGGCCGATCGTCTGTATTCGCGAGCCCGAGTGCAAGGTCGTGAAGCCTCTCGGTTTGGCCTCCGGACGGATCCCGGACTCGGCGATAAACGCCACTTCCGAGAGACCCAACTACGAGGCCAGGAATATCCGTTTGAACTCTGTGACCGGCTGGTGCGGCAAGCAAGAGGCCTTCACTTACGTGAGCGTCGACCTCGGTCGCGTATACCGCGTTAAAGCGATCCTCGTCAAGGGTGTCATCACCAACGACGTAATCGGCAGACCGGCAGAGATCCGGTTCTTCTACAAACAGGCGGAGCACGAGAACTACGTCTTTTACTTTCCGAACTTCAACCTGACTATGCGCGAGCCTGGAAATTACGGCGAGTTGGCGATGATTACGCTGCCCAAGTATGTACAGGCTCGCTTTGTGACCCTCGCCATTGTCACCTTCATGGAGAACGCCTGTATGAAGTTCGAGCTGATGGGTTGCGAAGAACCAACGGCGGAGCCGTTGTTGGGCTACGATTACGGATTCTCGCCCTGCGTGGACAACGAGCCGCCGGTATTTCAGAACTGCCCGCAGCAACCTATAGTCGTGCAGAAGAGAGCCGCGGACGGCGGTTTACTTCCGGTTAACTTTACCGTACCGACGGCCGTCGACAACAGCGGAAGTATCGCTCGGTTGGAGGTGATACCGCGTAGTTTCAGGACGCCCGTTCAAATCTTCGAAGATACCGTCATCAAATACGTCGCCTTCGATTACGATGGCAACGTCGCCATCTGTGAAATCAACATCACCGTACCGGGTTAGTAGCCGGGAAAGTATTTTCTTCTTTCTTTTCTCTCTGACCTCACGAAAATTTGCAAGGTTTGCTGGCTTTCTCTACCGTGTGGCGCGATATTTCTCATTTCGCAGATGTGACTCCACCGAGACTGAGCTGTCCGCAGAGCTACGTGATCGAATTGATCGATCGACAGGAGAGTTACCCCATCAACTTCAACGATACGCGTAACCGCATCAACGCCACGGACGCTTCCGGTCCTGTGAAAATTACCTTTGAGCCGCAACACGCGTTGATTAAAATTGGAGAGTTCAAGAATGTCACGGTGTATGCGACGGATCCCAGCGGTAACACGGCCGAGTGCCATTTTCAAGTGTCGGTTCAGGCGACACCCTGCGTCGATTGGGAACTGAAACCGCCAGCTAACGGTGATTTAAAATGCGCCCCCGGGGACAAGGGATTGCAGTGTAAAGCAACTTGCAAAGCTGGATATAAATTTATCGATGGCTCACCCGCCAAGATGTTCAGTTGCGCCAGTAAGCGTTGGACGCCCACGTCGATGGTTCCCGATTGCGTGTCTGAGAGTAAGCGTCACAAGTGAAATTTCACAAAAATGTCAATGGATAATTAAAACGATTCAATCGTATTTGCAGATACGCAACAGGCCGACTATCATATGTCCGCTTCGGTAAACTATCGTGCGAATGGCGCCGTTTCACGATCTTGCTTGCCAATGTATCAGGATTTAATGGCTCAGCATTACCCGAACGTGAGCATTATCTTGACGCAGCGTTGCTTTGGTCTGAACGTATCCTTCGTACAAGTGACGCCTTCTTTGATCGAGGAGAACGTTGTCAAGGTAAGAATCGATTGTATATCAATACACATCGTTCCGCTCAAATATTATGGATCCCCGTGTCCAATCTGAATTTCTTTTCATCGAAAAGTTTTTCAAGTGCACATCGTCTCGGAAATAAATCAAATCACGTTACCGTCCACTTCGATATCCGAAAGAATCGCTTGCGGCCTGATGATCGCCAAACGATGCGTGCACAAATTTCAGATGGATTTTCTCCTTATGGTCCTCCCTCCGCGAGATGTGAAGCAAAATGATCAGCCAGTATTTATGGATCATTGCGGTAGAACGTTGATTCTCACTTTTGGTTTGAAATACCCGGAAAAGACGATGGAAATCGAGCCTCTGTTGAACGTTTCCGCGATTGGCAATCAATGCCCGCCCATTCGTGCTCTCACGTCAAACGTTTCCAGCGGCTTCACGTGTAGCGTCGGCGAAGTACTGAACAAAGATACCAACGACGTATCTCGCTGTCGTAAGTATATTCGATTTCGCCCGTTCTCTCTCATTCACTCGACACGTACAATGAATATCATGCGAGCGTCTCCTTCGAGCTCCCCTCTGTTGCCGTTCTGCTTCAGTACATTGTCCCGCCGGAACGTTCGCCATCGAGAAACAGTGCAAGCCTTGCCCAAAGGGTTTCTATCAGAGCAACGACCGTCAGGGCTCCTGCATACAGTGCCCTGCCGGCAGCTACACCAAGGAAGAAGGCACGAAGAACACGGAGGACTGCATACCAGTCTGCGGCTACGGCACGTACTCGCCCACGGGTCTCGTGCCCTGCCTGGAGTGCCCCAGGAACACGTACACCGGCGAGCCGCCGACAGGAGGTTGCAAGGACTGTCAGACCTGCCCGGCCGGCACGTTCACCTACCAGCCAGCCGCGTCCGGTCGCGACCGTTGCCGCGCCAAGTGTTCACCGGGCATGTACTCCGACACGGGTCTCGCACCTTGCGCCCAATGCCCGAGCAACTTCTTCCAGCCTCAGCAAGGCGCGACCACTTGCATCGAGTGTTCCGCCAACATGTACACAGACGGACCGGGTTCGGTGGGTCGCGAGGCGTGCAAACCCGTCCAATGCGTCGACGGCGTATGCCAGCACGGCGGTCTCTGCGTGCCGATGGGCCACGATGTACACTGCTATTGTCCGGCCGGCTTCTCCGGCAGACGTTGCGAAATCGACAATGACGAGTGCGCGTCTCAGCCGTGCTACAACGGAGCTACCTGCATCGACCTGCCGCAGGGTTACCGGTGCCAATGCGCCGACGGTTACTCCGGTGTCAACTGTCAGGAAGAGAAGTCGGACTGCACGAACAACACGTGCCCGGAGAGAGCCATGTGCAAGGACGAGCCTGGTTTGAACAATTACACCTGCTTCTGCCGATCCGGATACGCCGGGACCCACTGCGACACTACGGTGAATATCTTTGATTTTGCGACAAATTTTTCGAATTTCGCCTCATCTCCCCTCTCTCTTTATCTAGATAAACCCTTGCACGGGCAGCGAGAATCCCTGCAACAACGGCGCGAGCTGCGTGGCTCTGGAACAGGGCCGCTACAAGTGCAAGTGCGCGCCCGGGTGGGAAGGTCAGAGCTGCGAGATCAACACCGACGATTGCGCCGAGCGACCCTGCCTGCTCAACGCGACCTGCACCGATCTGATCAACGACTTCTCCTGCAACTGTCCGCCCGGTTTCACCGGCAAGCGCTGCCACGAGAAGATCGACCTCTGTTCCGGCAGCCCCTGCTTGAACGGCATCTGCGTGGACAATCTCTTCAAGCACGAGTGCATCTGCTATCCGGGATGGTTCGGACCGGCCTGCGAGAGCAACGTCAACGAGTGCGCGTCCAAACCTTGCCGAAACAACGGTCAGTGTATCGACCAGGTCGACGACTACACCTGCACCTGCGAACCCGGTTACACCGGCAAGCAATGTCAACACACTATCGACGATTGCTCGTCCGAACCCTGTCAGAACGGCGCGACCTGCACCGACCAGCTCGAGGGATTCGCCTGCAAGTGCAGACCCGGCTACGTGGGCTTGCAATGCGAAGCGGAGATCGACGAGTGTCTCAGCGATCCCTGTAATCCGGTCGGCGCGGAACGCTGCGTGGATCTCGACAACACCTTTGCCTGCCAATGCCACGAGGGCTACACCGGCGCGTTCTGCGAGATCAACGTGGACGACTGCGCGTCCGATCCGTGCTTCAACGGCGCCAAGTGTCTGGACGAGGTCGCTGGCTTCAAGTGTACGTGCGCGAGCGGATGGACCGGCGCTTATTGTCAGACAGACATTGGTGCCTGCCACAATCAGCCTTGTCAGAACGACGCCGCCTGCGTGGATCTGTTCTTGGATTACTTCTGCGTGTGAGTAGAGAGACTCTGAGATGTTTCTCCTTCGATAAGTTTGTATATTTTTACGAAATCGAACCGGAAACTAATGTCTCGAAATTTGCTCGTCGACAGATGCCCGTCCGGAACCGATGGCAAGCAATGTGAAACCGCACCCGAACGTTGCATCGGAAATCCGTGCATGCATCACGGCCGTTGTCAGGACTTTGGCTCGGGCTTGAACTGCACTTGCCCGGAAGATTACACGGGTATCGGTTGCCAGTACGAATACGATGCTTGTCAGGCAGGCGCTTGCAAAAACGGCGCGACCTGCATCGACGAAGGATCCGGATTCACCTGTATATGTCCCCCGGGATACACGGGTAAGCCAACCGAAGACAGCTAATCGACTTTGGCCGAGCGAATTTTCCTACTGTCACTGTGTGAAAATGAAATTTCCCATTCCTCGCTTTAGGTCATACCTGCGAGGAGGATATAATCGACTGTAAGGAGAATTCTTGTCCACCATCGGCAACCTGCATCGATCTTACCGGCAAGTTTTTCTGCCAGTGTCCGTTCAACTTGACCGGCGACGATTGCAGAAAGTGTAAGTGTATTTTGAGAGCTGTTTTTGCAGGAGAGAGGGCATTCTCCTTCGAGTCTCCTTCGTTATTCGGTCAAATGTTAAATGATTCCAGCTATCCAAGTGGACTACGACTTGTACTTTAGCGATCCAGGACGCAGCAGTGCATCGCAGATCATTCCATTTTTCACCGGCTCGACCAAGAGCCTAACGGTCGCTATGTGGGTGCAATTTACGTTGAGAGAGCGTGACTACGAGAAAGAAGTTTTCTTCACTCTTTATGGCGTCAGGTACGTCTCGATGTATTGCGGATCTTTCCTACTATTACCTGGGCATTTGGTCTGCATCGTGACTAGAACGTCTGTCAACCTCCATATAACAAGCATTTTGTCAGTATGTGAGAGAATATGATGTTGCGAGGCAATGTCGCGGCGACATGAACAATATTGCTGCTTATTTTACTCGAACAGTCCGGAATTGTTGCAGTGATAAGAAGACTTTGATTATGGCGTTTTAATTAATTTTGAAAACAAGCGTATTTTAAACATCACGAAGCATACGTGCATTTCTCGTTTGAATAATTTGTTTAGAATCCTTTCTTCTTTTTCAGTTCGCCGCACGTGCCAATGAATCGCAGACTCATGATCCAAGCGTACGGAAGCGGAGTCCAGATATCCATCTTCCCAGACCTGCAGGACGTTCATCTGTCGTTTAAAGAATACGCGACCATAACTGACGGACAGTGGCATCACGTCGCAATTGTATGGAACGGAGAAAACGGCGGAGAACTCACCCTGATCACGGAAGGTCTCATCGCCCACAATATCAAAGGCTACGGTAGCGGCAGATCCCTCCCAGCCTAGTGAGTGTTCTTTTTTGAAGAATCCGCACTTACGTTCTCTCATCATCTTCCTCTTCTTTATCACCGGGATAAAAACTAATATCCATCCCTTTGTTAAAGCGCGTGGGCGGTGCTGGGCAATCCACAGAGCGACAATACAAAGGGTTACACGGGGTCCGGCTTCCAAGGCCATCTGACCAAAGTGCAAGTCTGGGGCCGCGCGTTGCACGTGACTAACGAGATTCAAAAACAAGTGCGCGACTGTCGAACGGAACCGGTCCTTTATCAAGGTCTGATACTGACGTGGGCCGGATACGACGAGACTGTGGGTGGTGTTGAGAGAATCGTGCCGTCGCACTGCGGACACAGGGTCTGCCCGCTCGGTTACGGCGGTAACAAGTGTCAGCAACTCGAAGCCGACAAGATTCCGCCCAAGGTGGAATACTGTCCGGGCGATCTTTGGGTGATCGCGAAGAACGGCTCGTCTATCGTAACCTGGGACGAGCCGCGTTTCAGCGATAACGTCGATATTGCGAAGGTGCAGGAAAAAAATGGACACCGGTCCGGACAGACTCTGCTCTGGGGTACTTACGACATCAGTTATGTGGCCTATGATCAGGCTGGCAATTCAGCCAGCTGCAATTTCAAGGTTTACGTGTTGTGTGAGTATCTCGCTTGGCTCGCGCGAATTGTGGAACGAATTGTCGTTCGCTAGAACGGGACTTTTCGTTACAGCGGACTTTTGTCCGGAGCTGGACGATCCGATCGGTGGCATGAAACAATGCAAAGACTGGGGCTCCGGCAGCCAGTTCAAGGTCTGCGAGATTTCTTGTAACGCCGGACTTCGATTCTCGCAGGAGGTTCCCAAGTTTTACACGTGTGGCGCAGAAGGTTTCTGGAGGCCCACCACTGATCCTAATCTACCTCTGGTGTATCCTGCTTGCACAGGTGCGAGCAATGGCTCGTTTCGCTCATTTAATCGCAATCTCATTCTTTTCAATCGTATTTCTTTCTCACAGTTGCCACTCCGGCCCAAAGGGTCTTCAGAATTAAAATGAGCTTCCCGACATCGGTGCTCTGTAACGAAGCCGGCCAGGGTGTACTCCGGAACAAGGTGCGGAGCGCCGTCAATTCCTTGAACAGAGACTGGAATTTCTGTTCGTATTCTCATGAAGGTGATTTTCTTCTCAATTTGCCGAATTTTCAACGATCACAGCTGCGTGCGCGCGCGCGCGCCTATTTATGCCAAATCATCGAGCGTTTGAAAAATAATACATCATTGTTCTCGTATGTGCTATATGTGTCTATTTAGGAACTCGCGAATGCAAAGACCTCGATATCGACGTACAATGCGATCATCGCACACGTACGACGAGAGACACGAGCGAGGAAGACGGTGGGACATACATCATTTCTGCGATCGTGCCCGCGAAGCCGTAAGTACAATTTTCACGTTTTAAGGAAGAAAAGGAAAGAATTTGGCCGTTGAAACGATTCGTAAGCGCTTTATTGATCGTAACTCTAATCGAGTAATGTCGCTGCGCCGTAAATCGTGACTTGCTTCTTTGCGTGTCGATTTAATTTCTCGCCAAGACTCAGTGACGACGATCCGACGACCGCGCTTATAGTGTTTCGCTTACAGTGCCACTCAGTACTGAACATTTTTGTGTTACTTGTGTTTGCATCGTAGAACGAGACAGGGTCGCCAAGGCAGTGATACCTACGAGGTGGAGATCTCGTTCCCGGCGATAAAGTAAGGACGACTCACGCGATCCTATTCATTTACATGTCATTACTCCCGCTATTCGATCAGATTTGATATGTTGTAATTCTAAACAGCACCTTACGGTAACCATCCCCCCCGCCATCATGTATTGCAGTCTATAAGTCCTACCTGCGCATAACTCTCATGTGTATGGATTTACAGTAACCAACAGGTCAACGCAAATCATACTAACGACTAATCCTAACGAGTATCGCTCGAAAGGAAAAATTGGTGTGCACGTTGTTACTAACTCGACACTGCGCGCTAATCGATGGGACGGTCTCATCGCGTAGTTAAGGGCTCGCAGGAGCTCGTGCGTTCCTACGACAGTGATGCATAACCATGTAACCAAAATCACCACGTATATAACCGAGCTGTAAACTCCATTCTACCGCAAAAACTTGAGTGTAAATTTTTCGAACGCTTTGCGAGCGCTACGATGCGATATATGTTTGAACGGAACATTATAACAGAATTATTAACCGTATTGCGTTGCATAATCAATCGATATGATAATATATTCGAAGCGGGCGTAAAAAGGAAAGAAGAAAGCTCGCGATCACATTATTTTGTGAGAGGCTCTTCGTCAACGCAGAGAGAGAGAGAGAGAGAGAGAGAGATTTTCATATTATGTTGCAGATCTCTTTGATACCACCAAATGTATCGACAATTCATAATTATATTAAGGGTAATTACCAAGAGTAATTTACGTGCGATTTTGCATTTCCTATAAATCCATTGACCAGAGTCTCAAGACAAGGCCGCCTTATATTACATTCGTCTCGAGATAATGGCTGTATATATCCGCGTCAGCTCTCCGATGCCTCTCTCACGTTGCTATGAAAAAAACACAGAAAATAATCAATGTACCGTCGATTAACACTTACTTGTGTCTTTCGCAGCGATCCTATTCTGAACGCCAATTCGAACGAGCGCGCTACCGTACAGACGTTGCTCGAAAGACTAATTCTGGAGGAGGATAAATTCGACGTCCACTACATCTTGCCCAACACCGTACCCGATCCTGCGTCTCTTGTTCTGGAATCCGACTATGCTTGTCCAATCGGTCAAGTTGTCATGGCGCCGGATTGTGGTAAATATCGACGAGTCTCATCAACCTGCCAATTTTGTCTTTATGTCTCTTCAAAATCAAACCGTTAATCAAGTTATTATCGCTCTTTTGAAAGAAAGAAAAAGAAAAAAATTCACAATATCGTTCCGGCTGAAAAAAAAAAAGTCGATCGATTTTTCTTGAATTATCATTGCGGTAGTATTTGTGCAAATGTTGCCGAAACAAGTAGCTGTCTTAGCTGACAACGTGATAACATTTCTGAGAGAGAGAGAGAGAAATCATTAATCATTCGCAGTGCCATGCGCGGTGGGTACTTATTACGACGAGAAGAGGAAAGAATGTGCCTCTTGCCCAGTCGGAACTTATCAGAGCGAGTCCGGTCAGCTCAAGTGCAGCTCCTGTCCGGTGATCGCCGGTCGTCCTAGCGTGACCGTGGGTCCTGGTGCGCGTAGCGCGGCCGATTGCAAGGAGCGTTGTCCTGCGGGCAAGTATTACGACGACGTGGCCGGTCTCTGCCGTAGTTGTGGCCACGGATTCTATCAGCCAAACGAAGGCAGTTTCTCTTGCCTTTTGTGCGGTCTCGGCAAGACTACGAGGACAGCCGAGGCGGTGTCTCGCGAGGAATGCCGGGACGAGTGCGGTTCTGGACAGCAACTGGCAGTCGAAGGAAAATGCGAACCCTGTCCACGCGGCACGTATCGCACTCAAGGAGTTCAAGCATCCTGCCAGGCCTGTCCTATCGGCAGGACGACTCCCAATATGGGTTCTGCCGCCGTGGAGGAATGTTCGCTTCCAGTTTGCGAACCTGGGACCCACCTTAACGGTACTATCAACGAGTGCGTGGAATGTAAGAAGGGCACGTATCAATCGGAACCGCAACAGACCTTCTGTATCCCGTGCCCGCCGAACACCAGCACCAAAGGACCCGCCGCTGTGAGTTTTTTTCTCTCCTTCTTCAATATAAAGAAATTCATTTCGAGAGGAAACGACAAATCAATTGTTACGAGTAGCTGATAAAAACGATAAAAACGATAAAAATGACCATTTGTTCGCAGACAAGCAAGGCCGAATGCACGAATCCGTGCGAGACCAGCGGCGAAGAAATGCACTGTGATGCAAACGCCTACTGTCTACTAATACCGGAGACAAGTGACTTCAAGTGCGAGTGTAAACCCGGATACAACGGCACCGGAACCGTTTGCACGGACGTCTGCTTGGGCTATTGCGACAACGAGGGTGTCTGCTTGAAGGATTCGCGCGGACAGCCCTCGTGCAGATGCAGCGGCAGCTTCACCGGCAAGCATTGCACGGAGAAGTCCGAATTTTTCTATATCACCGGTGGCATAGCGGGTGGCGTTATCTTGATCATTATCGTGGTGCTGCTCGTCTGGATGATTTGCGTGAGGTTAGTGTTACGTGAGGTTAGGAGGAATTGAGGAATGATTTTTACTATACGATGGGGGAAGAAATGAAATACGGAAAAAATTGCTATCGAACCATTGTTCTTCGATAGTATACCAATAATTTTTTCATAGTATTTTTGTAGTTTTTTTTTGTGTGTAAACGTGTATAATTTATGTATATATACCCGAGCTTTGAAAAAGCGCTTTTAATATCCAATCAATAAATATTACAATGTGAGCATTATAAAGATACATTATATAAGTCACAAGAATATCATCAGAGTCGATATAATTATATTTCATACATGTATGATTATATCTAAAAGTTCTCGCTCGGGTATGTATATTTCTTTTGTGCGTTTTCTTTCCAATTAAGAATAATCGGTCGGAAAATAGCAAGTTCCTCACTGATCGAGACATCGTTGGAATCAATCTTGTCAATAGATATAAACGGCACGCTTATTCTCTTAACAGAGCTTCTAGGAAGAAGGAGCCGAAGAAAATGCTTACTCCGGCGACTGACCAAAACGGCTCTCAAGTTAATTTCTATTACGGTGCACCCACACCTTACGCCGAATCGATAGCACCGTCGCATCACAGCACGTACGCCCATTATTACGACGACGAAGAGGATGGCTGGGAGATGCCTAACTTCTATAACGAGACTTACATGAAAGGTAATGAGATGAAGCTCTATATACAAAAGGAGAAATTTTAAATCAATATGTATTTCTTCCTTTTTTAATTTTGTACAGAGAGCCTGCACAACGGCAAGATGAACAGTCTTGCTCGATCGAATGCCAGTATTTACGGCACGAAAGACGATCTTTACGACAGACTGAAACGTCACGCGTATACCGGTAAAAAAGGTACAATCCCACAACTATCCTCGTAAATCGTACTAATCAACGGCGCCGGCTCATCGCATGTTATATAACGTCCGAAAAATTGCTACCAACAGGATGCAACGTACCTTGCGTGCACACAACTGGCTGCTTATTTATTAATTAATTTAAGACTACATACTGCCCCCCTTGTCTTTTTATCATCATAGAACACGTAACAAATTTCCGTTAAACTTTATTAAAATGACGAGCGTAATTATTTTTGAATCGAGCGCGCAACAAATAACATTACGAAATATCCATTTTGCAGATAAGAGCGACAGCGACAGTGAAGGCCAGTGACCGGGTAGGAACAATGAGTTTCATGCCAACGTAGGGTACGAAAAAGCGAGAGATATCGGTGTAATCAGACGGAGCGACGAGAGACGATATCTCATCCTTCGTGCGACGTCGTCGTCGTTGCTCCTCCCGATCGACGGATCGTGTTATATTTATTGCATATCCTCTTCTTCTGAGATGTTGCGCGGGATCCGCGGCCACCCTTATCCGCGAAACTAAACGCGGGGAACTGAACGACATTAAAAAAGAATAAGAGAGAAGGAGAGAGTGATCGAGCCGCGAGATCTCCCGTTGAACGCAAAAGAGACGCGCTTCGATCGACGATGAATGACGCAAGAGTCCTGGAACGACGATCGGTAAGCGCGTGATACATCGATCGTCGCTTCGGCACGCGTCCGTCGAGGGGACCAGCGAAAGTTTATCCGGAAATTTGAGGCCGCACAGCTTCAAAAAAATGCAAAAAGAAAAAAAGAGAGAAACGCGTCTGTTTTTCAAAGTTAAATTTCGTTGCGTGTTCAATGATTAAAGAGACTTATATGCGCGCACGTGTGTGAAGTTGTAATTTTTGTAATTTAATACCACGTAGATATTAAGAACCATTCCGCAACACCACCAACAAGTCCCGTCCTTCTCTTCCCGCTCACCATTTCCATCCTTTTCTTTATTCATCCATACGATTAACGGTGCGTACGTGACAGGAAGTGTGTGCTTGTATGTTGATATAACTATACGTACGTGAATTTATATTTTGTTACTCGAAAATATATGCGCGCATCACGTTGTAATATAATATAATAATGTGCAGTTGCGCGAACGCAACGGGGAGTGTTCAGCGAGGCGCCTCTCAATCGATAAACGAGAAAAAGAGTGCAGTAGCTCGTAGGAACCTCGGCGACGCGTGAGAGGATAGATTCGCGCGGTAACCAAAAGACAAAAAATTCAGGAAAGAAATCAATAACAAGTGTGTGCTTTGGAAACGTTTCGAGGAGGTACCTCTTGAGTATTTGACGCTCTCTCACGCGTGACGGTGTTGTTATACTCCGTAGAGGCGGAGCGATTCTGTCTGCACTTGAGTGCGACGGGAATATAAAAGAATGAGCTCCATGTCTGCGCGCGCGGCGAGCGGAACGATGATGCTTACCATGCTCTGTTTTTCATTTATGTTGTATAAAAAGAAAACTTTAACAGATATAGTTGTTTTTTTATTAATAAAATGTATTTCTCAACAAGATGATTACGTAAATATGTACTTTGAATATCCCGAGTGTAAGACGATGACGTGATTTTTGACAAATTTTTGGTCAAATTCACTATCAATTATCTCTTCTTTTTTTTTTATTATACAACGGCTTGTCATCTATCATAAACAGAACCGGTTTTTAGTTTAAAACCGTTAATATGAGACAAAGATCGGAGGCATAAAACATTGTCTTGAATCGATAAGTCAGACATTCTGTTAAGGACTTAAAACAGACGCATATCTCGTGAGCGTCATGAGAATTTGAAATTTAGAGAGTCTTGGAATTCTGAGAATAAATTGGAAAATAAGGATTTCGACCAAGTGCTGTAAAACCAAAGCACTGAGTGAAAAGAATGATTTTCCGAACTAATGCAAGATACACCCCAGACGGCATAACGTCTGAGAAATCGGGACGTTTGTAAATAAAATCAGAGAGAAATCTGAGAGCGACGTTCGATACATTGAAAAACGTTGTTTTGGCCGCTTTCAGTTTCTCTCATCAGGATGCAGGGTTGCGAATAGTAAAAATATATTGCGAGGCAGGCGGCATATTTTCGAGGAACAATCAGAAATTAAACTTGTCGCAATTAAATTTAGGACAGTCATAATTTTAATTGGCAAAAACGTGTCGTACGGATGTTTTCGCACTGATAAGCTGCGGCGTGTTGTTCTTGGAAAGAGAAAGCAGGGTGAGATTAGCGGATAATAAGGGAGGGAGGAGAAGCGGATCGAGAAAAGTGAGAAGTGAAAGCGGTGTGTGGAAAAATCGGATCATTGTGGAGATTTTGAAAATGCGATGGGAAGGACTAACGTCGCGAGTAATTCTGAAATTTTTCATACAAATATTAGTCAACATTGTAATGTGCAATACAGTGATGTACTATGAGGGAAAATCCTACATTCGATCAAACTAACGCCGCCACTAACACATGCATAACATATCCGTGTAGCGAAACTCTCTGAAATTCACGTGGCTTCGGAAAGTGAAGTGAGTCCAGTCGAACGATATTTAGGGTGCGAAAAAAATGAGCCTCCTTCACACGGTTCAATACAGCTATTGACAGCGATCGCATTTTGAACATTTAATGATCGCCCTTCTGCGCGGAGAGACTCTGCAGCTATCAGTCTTTATCGTTGACGCTTTACCTTTAATTATTTTTTAGACATCTTTTAATTGGCTGTGTGCACATTTGTGCTGGCAGACGGTTGTAAGCGCAGACAGTGCGTAAAATTGAAAATACGTAGAACATAAAAATAAAATGAGACTTATTACTTAAACGTCAAAGTCTTCCTCAGCAGCCGGTAATATTACAACTGTTACAGCCAAAGGCTTCGGATTTGATTTTTTGCACAGCAAAATTTTAATCTTGCCTGATATTTGACTCTTCAAGTTTGCACAAACAGTCAGAGGTATGGGTACAGCACTCGGTAGCAAGGGCAAATTTATCACACGAGGATTCACGTTGGTGTTCTCGGCTCTGCAGAGAATATACAATTCCGTATGGACTAAATTCTCAGAGATATTAGTCACTAAAACACGAATCATATAACTGGGTCCTAAGCCGAGAACGTTTGCCTCCAACGTAATAGGATTCGGTCCTGATGTTTGGTGCTCGTTTAAGTGTTCGGAGGCTCGTTTAGCTGTGGTTAAACGCAAACGAAGAAAACCTTGCTGAAATGTATTGTGTATTTTTTTCGCCTCGGCTCTTTCTCTTATCGTTTGATCAACAAACAATCTTGTTTTTTTCGGTATCGAAAACTTGGACGCGTTGCATGATAATGAATTCGACGCTGAATTGTTTACATTAAAGTCGGCAGTACGCTTAAGGATCTTCATACATAGAGCACCACCAACAGTGACCATCGCTATTGTTCGTTCCTCTTGTCCCATTCGTCCGTACTAAACGTAAAATAAGAATCGTTTATGTCAAAAGAAATACTAAATCTTATATGTGATTCTAATGTGGACGAGATGTACACAAAAGGAGAGAGAAAAAGATAGAGCGAGCGAGCGAGCGAGAGAGAGAGAGAGAGAGCAAATTCAAAAGTACAATATTTTTCCGAAATCCTTAGATATTATAGTCACTCTTTTTCGTTTTACGGAAATGATACTTGAAGGAAATTCAATTTCACGATTTCAATGGTGCGAAACGTGAGCGCGCGTCATTGAAAATATCTGCACATTACTATTTATTTTCGTACAATTCTCTCAAGTTTAACGCGACTTTACAACTTTTATACATAAGAAATACCTTAAGAGCAGATACGGGTTCCATAATCTTCACCGTATCCACGTGATGTTTTCCGTCATAAATGCGAACTCCATGCCCCGCTGTGCTTACGGCCAACAAGGACAGACCGCTTTGTGGTACTGGTAAACTCACTAGATCTAATATTATACCAGGAATACCGATACTCCACAGCTTTATGCCCTGTGTGTTAAGAGGTGCACAAGTTAAAATATCGAAAGAAAGGTCAAAATAATGTCTTTCTCCCTTTCTATCTCCTTCTTCCCTCTTCTTGCAATATTCTTCGAAAAATGTTATCCGCATACCCTTTTTGAAAATCCCACCAAAGTACCGTCCATCACAGTTACCGCCGCTCCTCCGGAAGTAAGAACGGAAATAGATACAGCTGGTGCAGGCAATGTTTCCCAAAGTTTCACGGGACTTCCTCTTCTGATCGCTCCTATTCTTCCATCTCTTCCAATGACCATTATACGACCGTCGCCCGTCCATAAACCGCAGCTGGCGAATGCTACCGGTGGCCACTCCAGTTGATGTTTATCCATAACTAAAAAAGCTCTGTGCGACGCATTTGTGTGCACGCGCACAAAATCATATATATATATATATATATATGTGGGGAGTACAAATTAATTCGGTCCGTTTTCAAAAAATGGCTTTGGCTGTTATGAATGTTTCATAGTGACAGCCGATTTTGGTTTCAGAGAGATTAGACATCTATCAATAATATTCAGTTTATATCGCTTTGAGTTTCATATAAAACCTCTGTTTTTTACAGTGTTGAATATGTCCAATTTTGTGTTAACTAAGCAGCATTTGCGGGAGGTTTTAGTTTTCTGCTTTAATTGGGAAAAAAGTGCAGCTGAAGCGCATCGAATGCTTGTAGAAGTTTATGGTGACAATGCTCCAACTGATAAATCATGTAGGGAATGGTTTCGACGTTTCAAGAATGGTGATTTCAGTGTTGAAGATAAGCCTCGCTCTGGACAGCCAAAAAAGGGTGTTGTATACTATGAGCTGCTACAACCTGGCGATTCCATTACGAGCCATCGGTATAGGCTACAATTAATTCGTTTGAGCCGTGCATTACGAAAAAAACGGCCGGAATACGAGCAAAGACATGACAAAGTTATTCTTCTGCATGATAACGCTCGGCCTCATGTCGCAAAAGTCGTAAAAAATTATTTGGAAACGCTCAAGTGGGATATTTTACCGCACCCGCCGTATTCGCCGGACATTGCTCCTTCTGATTACTGGTTGTTCCGACAGATGCAGCACGATTTGGCAGGTCACCGGTTCACTTCTTTCGCGGAAATCGAAAATTGGCTTCTAACTTGGATCGCCTCTAAAGACGAGACATTTTTTCGAGATAGAATTCGAAAATTGCCTGAGAGGTGGGAAAAGGTAGTAGCCAGCGATGGACACTACTTTGATTAATCTGTTAATTCATTTTGTTCTGAAGTAAATGCATTTTTGACCACAAAAAACGGACCGAACTCATTTGTACTCCCAAAATATATATATATATAAAATACGTATTATCTCGTAAATGTTCACGTTTTTTACAAACATAAGAAATATATACCTGGGATCTAAGACGAGAATTTCTCCAGCTTCCGTCCCTAATATAAGACAACTACTGGCGGGGTCGTTCCACGAGTCTCTTCGTATAATCGCGATCGCTGTTAACGCGTTCGGCTTAACCAACGGTATTCTTCTATATTGCTCCGCAAAGCTCAATCGTAAATTACTGTCCATAGATAGAAACTTTAACGTTCGAGGCGAAAGAAACGCCGCACCGAGCTCTTTCAGCAACAGTTCTAAATCGTCCGCCAATGTCAACACATTTAATTCCTCATCCAGTCCACACTTGTGCCAGATCTATGTCAAATTATCAAGATATTTTCGGAAAGTTCATTATCTTCTCCGCAAAATTTTACAAAACATACATACTTCTCGTTCTTTCGGATGTGCATCGATATGTGGCAGGCAATACTTGAAGAAGGGTCTCATATTCTTGAAAACATACACACTGGCCCCAGCTCCTACAGCTACTACCGATGACCGAGGTTCCCCATTCTCCGTATAAAAACCAACTATGCCGCAAGGCGGATCCACCATATTATGTTCAGTTACTTGATCACCTCCTTTATACACTCGTACCTAAAATATAAATATGTATAAAATATATGTATAAATGATAAGCTAAAAAGCCAAATGTCACAATCTATTATCAACAATTATATAGTGTTGAACTATCTAATGGGAATTAATAAATATGGTTGAGTATGCTCACACGCACGCACGCACGCACGCACGCACGCACGCATACACATATACACAAAACATTGTCAACATTTTATTTTACTCAATATAATAAGAGAGCTTATACGTGTACCTTTGTTGAATCATTTCCGACTGGCCCTAAATCAGCGCAAATGAATCTGGCATCTCCATCGCCACTTATATCCAACATATCAAGTCCACCTGGCAGAGCAAATAAACCAGCGCTTGGTTCCCAAAGTGCTTCCAACCATCGGCTTGTACCGAGTCCTCCGAGAGATTTGTGGTCTGCTCTGTATGCATAAAAAGAGAAATATCCATTAAAAATTCCATTAAAATGAAAAAATACCACAATTTTCATACTTTTCTAATGGACATGTGCAATTGTCGTCTGGGCGATATTTTTTATAGGATAATATTTTGATATCTTTTCGAAAAAAATTTGATCTACGCTAGTAGACTAGTTCACGCTTCATTTATCCACACACCATACACACACACACACACACACACACACATATATATATACGCGTAATATATAAATAAATTGTGTGTAATGTTTTCATAATATAATCAAGAATTAACAATATTTTAATAGGTGGTACCATTAAAAAAATAACATACAGACTCAACGTGAAAATAAAACTATTTACCTTAAACCGTGCATATTTGCAGATCAATTTGTTGTTGGATTATGTAAATTATTTAGTAATTAATTAGTTTACAATTAAAATTTATCCAATATATACATTAGCCTTTTTGTATTTGTTTTATATCGCATTGATCTACGTAAAGTGTGCATTTGAAATTATTCCAAGGAATCTATTAACTTTGTATGTCCTCTAATTTTACTATTAGGAACTTCCAATCGACATTTCCTACGGCTGGGAATAGATATATGAATTAGAAGTAACTACGTGAGAATGCTATTGAATACCACGTGCTTTGTTTATGAATTTGTTGCTATGGAAGCTACTATCGACATATATACAAGATCATGCGTGTATTTGAACGAAATGTAAAACCCTGCGGCATAAGTTTCCTTGAGTATGTTCCCTTTTTACTGGTAGTGCGACTATCATGACGTCATAATAGCGCACTGTTCTGAAATTATTTTGGTACTGCTAGTAGCATTGTAACGTCATATTTCGGAACAGTATTGCAATAATGCTGTGGATTGTAAAGGGCCTACTACTTTACCCATCAAATAGGATTTCTGAACGCAACCCGGGATGGTCGCACTTTCCGATTTGGCCTTAAGCAGAAGTAATCAGGATTTCAAATTGAAAATAATGGTTTTTTAAAACTGTGTGAAAAAACTAATTTATATTTATTAATATGAAAAATAATCAAAAGTTGCCAGTGATAGATGGGGTAAAATCATAGGAAATACTGGATATTATTTCGAACATTAAACTTGTACTTTATTTTTTGTAAATAAACTTTGAATTTTGTGAGAAAAGGCATGAATTTGCATACCTAATATATGACGACGGCAGAAGATAATTATAAATGCAAACACGTATGTCAAAGAGACGTCTCAAAGACGTCTTTTAAGCGTCTTATTATCTAAAGGACGTCTTTATGACGTTTCAATGTCATCTGGTTATAATAAGCATAATTTATTTTAACGATATTACAGTATTATTATGATATATACATTTTTCTACGATGTACATACTAACAAAATTTTTCATAAATAATTCAAGGTGAAAATGTGCATTTGACTACTTCATAACGCTATATGTTGCGCTTTTGAAATGTAAATCTTATCTTTCTTTCGCTCATCTCAATTGCATTAATTTAGAATTTATACGGAACCTCTATATAGTCTCGATTTTTTTTAATGAAAAAATTATAAAAGAAGAGTTTACAATATAATTACGTGATAGAAGGAACACTTTATGCAACCGTTTTAATCTTTATTGAAAACATTCTCATTGCAATTTCAATTAGCTTCGAATAAAGAGGGCTTGCGGAGTATTTTACATATTCCTATTCATCTTTCCATGATTTCTTTTCACTTATTCATGTGTGAT